CAGTGTTCGAAATTAGTGTTCTCCGAGTTCTCATGAGAACACAATTATAAGTTTGTGAACAGTAAAAATTTTTTACTGTTCACTTTTAAAAAGTTTTTGAGAACAGTAAAATAAAAATACTGTTCTCATAAGTGGTAGATAGATGAATAATATAATACTTAGAGAATACTAATACTTAAATAATAATAATACTTTCCTGCTAGCTCAGAATGATCTAAATGATCTGAATAATCTGAACAATTAGAATGAAAAAATTTTTATATGAAAATCCTAGAAATGTGGCAGATCACAAGTAGAATTGCAACCAATAAATAAGGTGCTTATAAACTTTATTAGAAACGATTTGCTGTATGTCAACAAAGAAAGATTATTTACTGTTTAAAAAAAAACAGTCTTTTACATTAAAGTTTTGAGTTACATAAGGACCATATTAATGATCGTAAGAAGATCAAAGTATAATTAGCTTACTATATATCATATATAGTATAATATATATTTTTAATCATATATATAAATATATCACACATCTTGTTAAAAGCAAGTTATTGTTAGAAATTAGTATAATAGCATATAAAATTTCAGAAATATATATATTTATTAATATTAATAATTCGAGTTGACAGTAAGTCAAAATTCACATGAATAATCTTGAAAAACTAGTATATGCAGGAAAAAGATAAGTAAAAGTTTAATGAGTTACCTATTCAAGATTTATGAAGCAATTGCTAATATAACCAAATTTGTCAGATAGGCGGATATGTATGACAATAATGAGACATATATAAACAAAGAATTAGCAGAGTAGTCTAATAGCAGCTCCCAAGAGTGAAGCAAATTTGTGCTCTCCTTTATCTTCCTCAGCAGGTAGAAAGCTACTGCTAAGATTATACATTACAATTTGACTACAAAGCTTCTGGCTAATAGCTAGCTCACTTTATGAGAGTAGAAAATTACTGGCTAATGCCGATAATATATCAATTGCACTGATGTATCTCTTTCAATTATATGCTAATTTTGTTTAATATTCAGTACTATTTGTGCTAGAACATATTCAAATATTATATCATATACGTGCAAATCTTTTTAATTTAGTAAAGTAGTTGTAACAATAAAAATTTTATAAAAGACTTACCAAATATACTATACTGTAATTTATGATCTAATATTAATTTAGTCTAGAATCACTAGTACTAACTTATAAAGTAAGGCAATGAAATTCATAGTCGTGAACATAATGAATATAACAAAATAGGTAAGATTATATCAACGCTAAATTTATTTCAAAACTTTCAAGTCATCAATTAGGATTTTTTAATTCTTAAAAATTTAATATAAAGTTCTGTTTTATTCTTTTTGTATTATTTATTATAATTGCTATTAAAATGTCTAAAAATTATTACGAACAAAGTAAAATTACCTCATTTATTACTACAACACAAAATTCTAAGCAATCTAAACTACCATATAATAATGATGATTCACTTAGTGAAAGTTTTGATTTTGATAATTTTGAAAACAGTACTACTATAAGTGAAGATTCGAATAATGAACAAGACTTAAATAATGATATTGAATTAAAAAAATCCAAATATACCCGTTTTGATAAAAAAAATTTAAAGTGGAATCCAAATTGGAAAAAAACCTACCCATGGGTTGATTTAATAATAAAACAAGATAGCAAATATATGGTTTGTACATGGTGCATTGATGCAAAATGTGATAATATTTTTGTAACAGGTACTCAATACTTTAAAGAGCAATATCTTCAACGACATATAGAACGGTCTGATCATAAAAAGGTTGTATATGCACGTAGCAAAAATCAAATTAATATTTTATCTAGTATACATCAATGTACTGAGTTTGAACAACTGCAAACAATGAGAAAAATGATGAATATTTATTTTCTTGTAAAGCATAATATTGCTACACTTAATTTTGAAGACTTGTGCCATCTTGTTGAGTTGCAAATTCAAAATACTGAAAATAGTATAATTCCTGGTGGTGCAAATCTTTTAAGTTTACCTGAATTAATAACCACAGTACAATCTACACGTAGTGAATATGGATCATATATTAATGATCATGCTGGAAGACAATTTATTGCAGCAATTGCACATGTTATTGAAGAAGCTATATTTAATGAATTACGAGCATCTAAAGCATGGAGTCTTATGATCGATGAAAGCAATACAATTTCTAATGAAAAAAATCTTGCTATTGTTTCACGACATATATTACATAATTTACCAGTTTTTCGCTATTTAGGAATTGTTAAACTTCAAAATGCTTCATCAAATGCAATTTTTAATGAGTTGGATCGATTTATTCTTGCTAAACACTTACCATTAGAAACACTTTATCATTTTGGAAGTGATGGTGCAAGTGTTAATTTAGGTAAATATTATTTTAATTATATGTCTATTTTACATATATTTATTAACTAATAAATATTATTTTAGGACATGTAAATGGAATAGCAACAAAGTTAAAAAATCGGCATCCATTTCTTACTGAGCATCATTGCATAAGTCATCGTTTAGCACTTGCTTCTAAAGATGCTGCTGAGCAAACTCCATATTTTGAATCCTATGATGAAACTGTTCGACAACTATATAGCTATTTTAGCAGATCATACTCACGATTACAAGCTTTGAGAATGATGCAAAATACTTTAAATGAACCTAATTTAGATATTTTGCAAGTTATTAAAACACGATGGCTTTCATTAAGTAATGTTGTTAATAATCTTTATCAAATTATTAATTCTGTAATTAGTGCATTATTAGAAGATGCGTCTAAAGGCCAGAAAACTGCACAACAGCTTTATAATAGTATTGATGATGATTTTCTAGTTGCAACACACTTTTTAGCTGATATACTTTCACAACTTCGTCGACTTTCTTTAATTTTTCAGGCTAATTATGTATCTGTTTCAGAGGTTACTATGCAAGTAAATGCAATAATTGAGTCTATTACAACTGATTTTATTGGTACTACAAATGTGCAACCTACCTTTGGAACTATTCTATTGCAATTTATGAATCAAAATGATATTTTACCTAATGATATTCTCTCATTTATATACGAATTCGCTGAAAATACAGTAACAAATATTAAACTTCGTTTTCCAGACTGTTAAATTATAAATTCATTTAGAATTTTTGATCCAAGGCAATTACCCACTGATCGCTATTCAATTTCAGTTTATGGAAATCACGAAATTAATAAAATTGGAAATTTTTATAGAATTTCTAAAAAGATCGCAGGTAGTAAAAATTTTTTTATTTAAAATTTATAAACTTTAAATAAATAAATATATATTTATTATTATAATCGTTATACTATACATAAAAAATTAGGTCATGAACATTACAAAGTTATTGATGCAGATAATTTTGCACAAGAATGGAGAGTTATTCGTTCACTTCTTTCTAATTACCGTAGTTTACATATTACTACTGCATGGCATAATATACTACGAGATAGTCAGGATTTTTCTTTAATTTATCCCAATATTTATACTATTATTTCAATTATCTTGTGCCTACCTCTTTCTAATGCTTATGTTGAGCGTGTTTTTTCTAAGCAAAACCTTATCAAAACCAAACTTAGAAATAGAATGAATTCAGATACTCTAAATGATATTCTTATGATTTCTTTAAACGGTCCTCCTTATGATGAATTTAATTATAAACATGCATATCAATTTTGGCGAAGTTCAACTTTTCGCTAAATAACATTTAAACTTTATATAATTTAAGTTTAAAAATTTAGAATTTTTCATTATATTGTAATTTGGCTTTTTCTCAAATCTTGAATAAATATATTAAAATTTAAGTATACTATCATATTTGTTAGTTTCATTTATTTTATTCGTATTGATTTAAAATTCTCTCAAGCACATAATTAATAGGTCGAAACTCAATTTTTAATTTGTGCAAAGTAGTTTAACCGGTAAGTAGTTCATTGTCTCGATGAAAATAAAAACTGAAACCACCTTTTTATGTTACAGACTTGTTCTGATTTGCTAAAATTTTATTTTCAGCATTTTGTGATATGAATCTTTATCAAAATTACAGCAAGGAACGCTTCAATTAATCGTAGTACTTTATGCACGATCTCGGCAACTAGCTAATCGCATTGAAAGCACTTTTAGTCTTTAAGCTTATCAATTATTTATTGGTTTAATTGACTAAGTATTTAATATAAGCCGTTTACCTCTCATTTAGCTTCTTATCTACATTAGTCTGGATGATTATTATCTGCCAAGAACATTTCTAATTATGCAGATTAATATGACCAGATCTGTATGGTATGGGGTGTGAAATGCCCCTATACTTAATATCTATTCCGGGGTTATGCATTATTAGGGTTAGCATTAGAAAATTATAATGGAGCCCTATAAAAAATTTTCAAAAAACTTATCCCGACTTTCTCCAGATTATCATTCCACTATCATTCTGAAAAATGCTCATTTTTCGGAACAAAACATACACGAATTCCTGGTCATTCCCATAGAACCATGATAAATTCCAGGTAAAAATCAAATTCAGGTAAGATTCGGCTTCTAATATTTTGTACTTCATTATATTTAGAAACCGAATCTTACCTGGATTTGATTTTTACCCGGAATTTATCATGGTTCTATGGGAATGACCAGGAATTTGTGTATGTTTTGTTCCGAAAAATGTGCATTTCCGGAACGATAGTGGGATACGTTTTTTGGAAATTTTTTATAGGGGAGTGGTATGATATTTTTTTAAAGAGTATATTTTTCCTAAACCCCACGCTATTGCTTATACTACTACAGCTTATTACAAAGTCCATCATCCTCGGGAGTTTTATTCGGTGCTTTTAACTTATCATGTGGCAGTCCATGATATTTGATTAATGACTTTTGAACCAGAGAGTATTAATTTTCGCATCGATAATCTTTTAAAAACCATCGGTAAAGCCAAAAACAGTGTTTGTTTAAATTATAGTATCTCATATCAATATAGCTATACTGTATTAAGTTGTATACCCGATATTTATTTTATCTGAATTCGTATTGGAGCTGTCCAAAATTAAGCTTATATTCATCCGTTCCTGGTTTGGTGTGACAATGTCGCGCAGCTACTTAATTGATTAATTAGTTAGTAATATAAAAGTTATCTATTAATTAATATTTAAATAAGTATAATTTGTTGGTAAGTATTTCATAAATAAGCTACTTAAATTAAAGAACATTTATTATACATTAAAGTAGGTTCTTAAATTTACTATTACATAATGCATTTAATACTATAATATCGTATACTTCTGAAATTAAGCACCCCCTCGGAGCAATTTTTATAGCCGAATTTCTCATGATCTAATAATCAGATCTGCATAATTTTGGTACCATTCGAATCGTTTTGATAAGTTGATTCGAATGATACCAAAATTATGCGGATCCGATTATTAGATCATGAGAAATTTGGCTATAAAAATTGCTCCGAGGGGGTGCTTAATTTCGGAAGTATACGGTAAATAATATTTATTTAATTTGTTGGGTAAACATAATTAAAAAGAAAGAAAATTAAATAGTAACTAGAAAAATTATAGGAATATAAAATATGCTTTATATATATACTATTAGTTTTTAACTTTTTATTAACATAATAAATATAATAAAAGTAATATTATTAGATTTTGGATCAAAATCCTGAACAACAATTATTGAAAGAACATAAATTAGTTAGCATTATAGCTAGTACTGGCTAACTATGTTGGTATTATGTTCTTTCAAAAATCTGGTTTTTGGGAGATTGACCCAAATTCAATTATTAGCTAGTTTTTTTTTTTTTTTTTTTTTTTTTTTTAGTGAGCATAAGTGAAAACACCAATAGCAATTTGAGAACACTCATAGCCATCATACTGTTCTCATGAGAACAGTAATTGAGTCT